ACTGTCAAGAAAAGCAAAAGCTTGAAAAGATGTCAAAAATATGGAAAATTATGCAACATTTTAAAGGTCGGGGTAAAAAGATCACAGAGATCTTTGGTTAGGAGTGCAAAAAAACCCTATAAAATCATGTGAAAAAGTACACCCTGCTGAATTTTTTGTCTTTTTCACTATATAAGGAGAGACATTTGATCTTCATTTCAACACTAACATATAATAAATATTACGTCCCTTTACTTTTTGTACTCCATTGCATGATTTAAAGAAATACCAATTTTGCATGTAGAAAAACTAAGTTCATCCCTACATTTATCACTTCCACAGATACCTAAAATTTGAATTAAGTGCATTGCACCAGATCAGGTGCAAATGATTAGAACATTATTACAGATGATCTTGGAGAAACTTGTCTTGCTGAAACCTTGAACGTTTCATTTGATTTGCTTTTTCTTGTTGAAGTGCGTGATATCACCATGCCTAGCTGAAAAAAGCTCTCTGAGATCTTCAACATTATAGATTTCTGTGAATCTAGAACGGGCTAGGGATTTTAAAAGATTGCCAAATCATTGGTCTTCAGTCATTCCACTGTTCTGAAGATCTACAAGTGAAGAAGATTTCAAACAATTGCCAACGTGCCCAGCCAGGCCATCTGAATAAGTTCACCCTGAGAGCAGAATGCAAGATGCCAAAAGAATTCTCTAAGAATCCCAGAATTTCATCTCATAACTCTCACCACCATTAATGTCAGAGTCCATCAGATTACCATTTGAAAGAAGCTGTCCAAATTAGATCTACATGGGAGGTGTGCCAGGAGGAAATCTTTGCTTTCCAGAAAGAACATGAGACCAAGAGTAAAGTTTGCTGATAAACACCTACACGAGGATCAGGATGTTTGGAACAATCTGCTCTGGACAGATGAGGTAAAGGTAGTTATTTTGCCATGGTACCAGGAGGGCTGCTAGACAAAAGCCAAAGGCAGCAGCAGTTCACAGCAGAAGAACCTCATACCAGCTGCAAAGTATGTTATGTAGAAGAACGTAGACTGTTACAGTGTGGGACTACTTTGCTACATCAGGGTCTGCACAGCTCATCGTCAGAAATCCACTATAAATTCTCCATCCATTTTTTTAAGTACCCAACAACTGGACAGTAGGGAACTGACTAGAAAACGCTAAACACATCCTTTGGGCTTGTATATATTTGGATACAAAGAAAATGCTATTCATAAGCTCCATCGCCTATGGCCGTGGTTCTCAGCCTGTGGTCATTGGACCCCTGGGGGGAACCACAATGTTGTCACGGGGTCTATGAAGGCTTGAAAAATGTTATGATTTAAATCTTGAGTTAAGTCTTGGGGGGTCTGTGGTCATGGTCCAAGCTACAAAAATATTTAAAAGGGGTCCATGGTGAAGAAAAGGTTGAGAAACACCGACCTATGGTAATTATTAAGGGCTGGAGCAACAGTGCTGAAACTACAGTTTCCAGAGTCCATTGAAATTGGGTGTCCAATATAGCTTAATGAATAAATAAATAATAAATGATTGACAGACCAATAGATGCAATGATAGCTTCCTAACTAATGGCACTATTCACTCTGTTAATGGCTGGGGAGACAGAAGTTGAATATTTAAGTAACAAAAACAAAACTAATCTGAATATCCTTTCTCTTTCTTTTGGTATTTTGTCTTGATTCCTGTGCATTATTTTAATTCTCTGCAAAGGTACTCCACAGTGTATTTGTCAGGCCTGTGTCTAACACTAATGTATTTTTCTGCAATTTCTCGTCCTTAAACTAGACTAACAAATAGAGTTAAACAGCTCCCATCTGCATGGCTAAATTTGATAGGGATAGTAAAGATGAAGATGCTAGCAGTGTTGACTTGATTTTTCTAGCACTAAACTGAAGACCGTTCTATTCCACCACCTTGTTTAATATCAAAGATAACCATAAAATTCAGACAGTAAATAAAACTTCACTTGCAACTCAATACAGGCATTGCCTCCAGAAGCAGTGAATGCTCCAACATTAGACGTTTTCAAGAAGAGACTGGACAGCCATTTGTCTGAAATGGTATAGGGTTTCCTGCCTAAGCAGGGGGTTGGACTAGATGACCTACAAGGTCCCTTCCAACTTTACTACTACTATTATTGTTGTTGTTGTTGTTGTTATCATCATTACATTTCAGAGGCAGGGGGAGAATATTCTTGACGTAGCCCCATTGAAATGAAAAGCAGTAATGCTGGAACTCAGCTATTCCCTTAATTTTAAATGAAGCTTAAAACCAACTTGAACTGTTGCAAAAAGACTGGTTTGCTCCCGAGGCAAGCAGAAAAATTTATCTTGGATAGTGAATTTGGGAAATTCAAGTAACACCAAATATGCATAATGTAATAGCCTATTAACCCCAGCGCCCCTCAAAGATGGCACTGGCCCGGACCCTGGCACCACAGAACCTTGGCTGACATAAATGAAGGCATTGCTCTGTTTGTTTTTGATCTAATGTGAAGTGAGAATGCATTTCCTATACATTAGCGTTATGCCTAAACCAAGTCCAGTCGCTGCTTCTTCGGTAACTTGCTGGGATATGTTGCCTTGCCATTCATTATATGAAAGGAGAGGAGGGACTAAGCCTGGGGTACTTTTAATATAGCTTTCCCCCCCCTTTCCGACCCCTGAATTTTGAACTACATCATCGAGGAAAGTTGTCTTTGTTTTTCAGGTGAAAGAGAAAGAAGCTGCTAGAAGAGGTAGGATGGAACAATTTGATTTATTTTTAGCTTAGCACCCTAAACAGCTGTTTTGAAACAAACGTTTTGTAGGTATTGTAGGCTTGATTTTGATATCTGAAACCTGCCTAGGTTGCCTTATTCCAAGAAGGGGCTATGTTGTTAGGAAAGCTCAGGAAGGTTGTATTCGCTATGGAGAGTATTTGTAAATCATCGTATGTGCAGATACTAACGAGCATCTGCAAGAGACTTCAGTTGTGACAACTGGGGAGTTGACTTTCTAATTGTGCCAGTAGTGGCTTTTTTTCTTTACCACTCCTATTCTGCAGAGAAGTTGAAGTCAGAAGTGATTCCAATTAGTGATAAAGCTGAAAATCAGAAAAGTTAGAATCTTTCATAACATGCTAACTGTAATTGGAGGAAGGAAATCTAGAGTTATGCCTTCCCAGAGCAAATTTCTTAATATTTTACTAATCTGCCTAAAATAATTTAAAAAGTTATTAAAGTAATGACACTTTGAAGTAAATCAAGGTGTCATTACCTCAGTAGCTGTTAAATCATGAAATAAGGTTCATTTTTACAGCATTTATATTTCAATAACTCAACAGATTTTTAACCATTTAAAAGAGAATAGGCTCAGGCACAGATTAGTTTTTCTGTAATTCTAGAAAAAAATAGGCTGTTATAATTTTTTTAAAAAAACTTAAAAACATGAAGGAAAAAGTAAAAAGAAACTTTTATAAATTAGCCCGATGAAAAATGGCTTCAGAAGTTCAGATTCATCTGCATGGTAAGAAAGGACCTGCGAGGTCAGGCAGGTGAAATCCTCCTGACTCTTTAGGGAAGGGCTACCAGCCTCGCTCAGCACTCACCTCTGCTGCAGCCGACTCTGCTTCCCATGGGACGCACAGGTAACATGCAGCAGGCCATCTGAAGAGAAAATAAAGTGACATTGTAAATTTTTTAATGGCATATGATATGGTAAACAATAAAATTGCAGTAGATAATTTGGCCCCCTGCACTAGTCTCTGTAGTTTTCTTGGCAAGGTTTTTCAGAAGTGGCTTGCCATTACGTGTTTCCTAGGGCTGAGATAGAGGGACCGGCCCAAGGCCACTCAGCTGGCTTCCTGCCTAAGGCAGGATTAGAAGTCTCAGTTTCAAGCCTGATGCCTTACATGTTATACCAATCACTTTCACATTTCCATCCTACTGCTAAGACTATCTTTTTGTCTTCTAGTATCATTTAACAACAGGTAATCCTCAATTTATGACTGTAATTGAGCCCAGAATTTGGTCTTAAGTTGTGACAGGGTTACCATATGACTGCACCCAATTTTACAACTTTTTTTGTGGCAGTTGTAAAGGGAACGCCATGGGGGCTAAGCGAACTCATTTTCACTTTGGGGAGATTTTTGCTGGAAGCCAGAAGTAAACACCGGTTTCTAGCAGAAACATCATAAATTGTGGTTACATGACTAGGAGGGCTCTGCAAACAGCCATACATTCAGCATAGTTGCTAAGAACCCAGAATGTGGTCATGTGACTAAAGGGTGGCCGGGTGTAGACATCAGAACTTCAAATTCGTCTGATAAGTCCCATTTTCAGGTTTGTTGTAATTTCAGGCACTTCCTAAGCTGCCAATTATAAGACCTGCTGGAAAAGACAAGAAAGCAGTTAAGACAATCAGATACAGGTAATCTGATTGTCTTAATTGCTTTCTTGTCTTTTCCAGTAGGTCTTTTGTTTACTTTCACAGAGGATATTAAATGTTTTCTTATTCTGCCGTATGTACTCTGGAAATGATGTGATTTAGGATGTATTGCCAGATTGTTAGACTCTTACTTCGTATATTTTTGTTCCAGACTGAATAACATACTGCTTGTTTGTATAAGAGAAGTGTCAGGGTTTTGCTTAATTTTATTCTATATTTTTTCCCTCACATACGGTATTATAGTCAGTGGTTGACAGATTTTGGCAGAGTTACAGCCATGTTGAAAGGATCCTCCTCTGTCAAATGCTGCCCATAATAATATGTACTATATTCGAAATGTGAAATCAAGAGAAAACATGCTCCTTAATCAAGTTATGAACTCACGATTGGGAAGGATTTTTTCCCCAATGCTGTATAATAAGATGAGGAGGAGGAGGAGGATGAACATATGTTCCGTGAAGCAAAGTTATGCTTTGCTTGAGTCTCTCTCTATGGTTAACTCTCTCATGTTCACGGACAGCTCTGATTGAATAACTGTTGTCTTGTCTTTTTGTTTGTCTTCAAGCAAATGGTGATGAGCCTCCGAGTCTCTGAGCTGCAGGTGCTTTTGGGTTACGCAGGAAGAAACAAGCACGGCCGCAAACACGAACTCCTTACTAAAGCACTTCATCTGCTCAAGGCTGGCTGCAGTCCCGCTGTCCAAATGAAAATCAAAGAACTTTACAGGAGGCGGTTCCCGCAAAAAATAATATCCTCTGCAGACTTGTCCATCCCAAGCGTCCACTCAACATCCATGTCATCCCCTTTGTCATCCTCTACCATTCCACAACTTGCTTTTGATGGCCACCCGGCAACCTCACCATTACTTCCTGTTTCTCTTCTGGGACCTAAACATGAACTGGACCTGCCCCATCTGACCTCAGCACTCCACCCAGTCCATCCGGACATAAAGCTTCAGAAGTTGCCATTTTATGACTTGTTGGATGAACTGATAAAACCAACGAGTCTAGGTAAGGGAATAATATTGTCACTTTTATAAATGCAATCATTATATGCATGCGGATGTAAGTCATACATTTAAGGATCTCATACTTTTCTTCCTTGACAACTCCCAACTTACAGATTGAAAGCCTGTTACCTCCAGTTTGGATGGAACGATTTCTTGACTTTTAAAGATGGACTGGGGTGTGGGTGTGACATTTCACAGTTGTTCCAAGGCATTTAGGTAGAGCGAACATGGTATGAATACAAACAAATATTGCCAGAATATGTAATTGTAAGCTTCAAATTATTCTTCAGTAGAAAACAATTTTGACTAGAGATTACTTTATTAAATAAGTTACTGGACCATCATTGTAGAATGCTTCTTAGTAATGTTCTTACTAATGGAAAAAAAGCTCTAACAGTCAACCTACAAATTTTAAAAATGTAGTTTGGTATTCCAGACATTTTTAGTCATATGTTAACAATGTGGCACTTTTGCTTTGCTAACTCAAGCAATCGAAATGACAAAATTTTGAAAGACTTTGAATGCTTGAAGTCTAATTTATCTTGCACTTGGTGTAGACTGTGGGAATTACCAGTTCATCAGAATGCTTTATTAACCATTTTGTTACACACACAAAATTTGGACTAACTTAAGTTCCCAAAAAATCTTTTGAGATCAAAAAGGGAGGAATGCCTGCTTAAAGACTTCTAATTTTTAAGACCATTTTCCTTAATGTGTTTTCTCTTAATTTTGAATACGTAAAGATGCTGAAATAAGAGATACATTTCTATTACTTGTCCCTAAACGCATTAGATTAAAATTTGCTTGGAAACTATAGGAATTGTAGTCCAGTGTGTCCAGGACCACAAAATTGAGAAAGGCTGATGAATACCTTATTTGTTGATTATGGTAGTCAGTGAGTAGGCATAGGACATACATCACAAAAACACTAGGTAGACAATGTAAGAAATAAAATAGACCACAAATAATCAAACTAGAGAGTGTGGGGAATGCAGAAGCTGACTACTGGCCAGAGTCTAAAATGCAGAAGCTGATTACTGGCCAGAGTCTAAAATCAAATAAAATTATTGATAGTATAGCCATAAAATAAAACGAAATGTCACTTACAGTTGAGAGCACTTTTAAGCATATCTATTTAGCTATAAACATAAAAAAGAGATGTTTGATCATTAAAAAGGTTACAAAATGAGACAATTGGCAATCTAGAAGATGCTAAATGTTTTATAGATGATCCAGTGTGCCAAATGTGAGCCAAGGGCAGAATCTCTTAGCTGCAGAACCAAATGCAGCTATCAAGTAACATTTCAGGAGTCTAACAGAAGAAATAAGGTATATAGTATAACTTTGGGAGAGGTGAGATTAGGGTGGGGACATTTTTTTTATTGTTGTTGTTGTTGTTCCATCTTTTTAAATGTCTGAGAGCACCTGCCCTACATGAAGGAGTCCTGCGACTTTCTGGGTATCTCAGGAGGATGATATTGATGTGGAGCTTTTCAAATCCTGAAAGAATCTGTCCTTCCTTTCAATCCATTATCTAGCTACACAAACTCCAAGCAATGTCTCAGATCATGAGCTGATTTCATTTATATGTCTGTAATATTTGGCTCTCTGGCTATTTCCTTTTCAATTAGAAAGAGGAGATAAATTGAGTTTTTCAATCCCTAATGAATTCTGGTCAGAAACACAGAGTAAGGTAATAATATAATATTGCGAACTCCAAATAATTCCTGCCCGAGAGAACTTTCCAAAGTCCTAACGCAGCCTTTAATGACTTTCTTGAATGAGATTATTTACCAGCACTACTTCAGACAAACAGCACAGCTCTGCAGCACAAATTCACACTTGAAATGATGTTTCTTAAAAAACAGTAGTACAGATAAATATTTTGCAAAATTAACATTCCTTGGGGTATGTTAAACTGCAGTGGTGCCATAGATAATTGTTCAAGGTAATTGTTAAATCTTGTTAATGTACTAGGTTGACTCAGAGGCATCTGTTGAAGTTCCTTTTGTGTTTGGAGCATGCTCACTTTTTTTAAATGTTTGTTCAGACTCTAAAGGGCTGAGGCAGACTCCTCTTACTTGTGACTCTTCCTGTCTGGATTACGGCCAGCTCTGCTGAGTCTCTGGCTTTTTTCTTTTCTCTCCCAGGGCCTTAATAGACATTTGGGTTTTCACCCTTACATATTGCTCTCGTTTTGAGGACTTGTTGAAGAGAGCCAGAATTGGCTCTCTGCCCCTTGAAAAATAGATGTCCTCTTGCTGTTACTCTTAAGATACAGATGTTCTTTTGTCTATGGAAATAAATTCATGGGCAGGAATTTTTCTCTGAAACTATACAGTAGCATTTGTTAATGATTTGAGGATTTTATTTTAAGATCACAAGGAAAACATTTATGTTTCTGGCAATGATTTCAAATAAATTGTTAGCTTTAGAGATGAAACGTTCAGTGGGAATACACTTTTTTTTTATTTTAAATATCGAGCCGATTCTCCTGCAGTTTTTGGTGCCTTTCAATATTGAAACAAGAGAATGCCTTATGAATTTTTAAAAAATGGACCATTTCATCCTTTAGTATTGTAAAATGACATGGGATTAGTTCCCTGGTAATCCTGGATTCGGATTTTATCTATAATAATTTCTAGCATCAAACTGTTCTCTGCCCCCCCTTGAGCCAGCCTGTATGAGTGCTAATAAAAGGCTGTACATCTGTTGACATAATAGAAGGCTTTGTATTTTGTCCAGGGAGCAACGAAGAGATTTGGGCCTCCTGATTTGGCGTCCTGAGATATAAGGGCTGGGTGAGTTTCTTTCACTATAGTGGAAGTATAACTGATTGAAACTTCCAGCATCCCCGTTTAACACATGTTTGCACTTCTTCTACTCCTAGAATTCAAATGGAGGTTGTCTGATTTAAATCATATAGCAAAAAATACTATTTATTATATTTTGCAGCAATCCTTTTATCATTCCAATAATTCCTAAGTTGACCTATCCTATTGCTGCCTGCTTCTGTGAAATCCTGTTCAGTCCCTGTGTGGAAAATAATTCCTCTTTCCAGCCATAACAATCTAAAATACATTCCTCTTTTTCTAACAGGTGTTATCAATTACAGGAGCTATGGTGACACTTGTTTAAATTGACCAAACATTAGCGTACTATCTTGGTCTAATCCTGCAAAGATCCAGAAAGTTACAGAAGCCAAGTGTTGACCTTGATGCACATTTGCAGGCAAAATGCCCCTCCAAGTCCAAGCCCAGTTTGCTTTCTTACACATGCTTTAGTCTGCCATAGTTTGCAGAGGCCTCCTTGGATTGTTTGTTTCCAGCAGACAGAGTGCAGCCCCTTTATTAGAGTTCCAGTTTCCAGGTAATCCATACTTGCCACATCTAGATGTAATATCTTTAACTACTGATAACAGTGCTGCTTAAGTCATTTAGTCCTCAGAAAAAATGGGAGTGAAATCATAGAATATCATAGAATAACAAGGTTGGAAGGGAGTGTAGTCTAGTCCCCTTCTTTACAATTAAAGATCAGTTAATCTCAGTTTAGAAATATAGAATGAAGCAAAATATTTTAACATTGGATGCATTAAAGTTTATTTTTGAACAATAGACTCAGACGTTAATTTTAATCTATGGTGCTTAACAGAAATTGTGGAAGAGACTTTACCTGACAAGATTGAGACTGATTTGAAAGTGGGTTTAAAAATGATAGGCTTTTATAAGAAAAGTGAAAAGTGAAGAAGGTGTCACACTGGACATACAAAAGAAACCAGCTAATATCTTAACAATTAAAAAGGATATATCAATAACAAATCTGGATAACTTTCCTATATTGGATTTACAAAAGAGGCTTGTTAAAGCTCTGAAGAATTTTGTGAAAAGGGGCAAAAATATGAAAAGAAACCAAGTTCTAAGGTATTATTTGAAGGGAGTAAGGATCAAAATGAAGGAATATAAAGTTGCTTTATTTTGTGACTATGAGATGGGCAGCATAATATATACAGTAAATATTTTATCAAGGTTAAAAAAGATATGTTGTTGTCTCTGGAATCCCTTAATAGATTTTTGCTGGCATCAGGACTGAAATGAGGCCTTAAGTATTTGTTTAAAGATAAAAGTGGAAATGGGAAGAAGACAACATTTGCAGTATTTTAAGAGAAGATGTTAAGTTACTAAAATAGTTTACACTTGTAATTAGGGGAAAGTCATTTCTTTATATATTTCTTTTTCTTTACTACTGCATATCCTTTCTTTTCTATTTTTTTTAATGCACCTTCTATGGTTCTGTGAAAGTTTATGTACCAAATGCAAATGTTTGGATTTGAGAGACCAAAGTAACTATAAAAATGTTGTTCATACATGTGCGTGTACACAGAGAGAGAGAGACAGACACACACACACACACACACACACACACACACACACACACACACAGTCTTGAAGTCTATATGACACCAGGTCGGCTGGATTAATGAATACTCAAATAATTTTATGAAGTTCAAAAGGCTATTTCATGTTAGATTAGAAAAATAAGTAGACACAAGCTCTTGAGTCAAGTTCGGGTACCCCATCTCAACTCTTGTCTCCAAAATCAAAAACACTTTGCGTCCTGTTCTTTGTAGTTGAATATGTTTTGGAATGAAAAATCTAGATTAAAATCAGAAAAAACAACATTGCACGCATTGAAGTTATAAGAAAACTTACCAGTGATGGTCTGAAATACAATTGTAGGACGGAAGTGAATTGTTGATGCTGCACTGATACAAACCTCCTAGTCATGGGGGGGTGGGGGGGAGCTTATCTATATTTCATGCTACAACCTCCTCCCCCCCTCCCCAGTTCTTTCTCTCCTCCCCCCTCCCCATTTTTCCTCACATAGCCAGCTGCTGGGAATGAGATATCCCCTTTCTCAGAAATCTGAATTACTGCAGATTCTGGAGAGCTGGTGGAAATACCTTTAAGAGGACCTCAGCTCTGAATGCTACTGGGATGTGCCTTAGGGTGAATGGAAGAGAATGCTTCTGACAGGATCCAGTCCTGCTCTGAGTAAACATACTGTTTTCTCTAAGAAAACCAATCCATACTTTGAGACCCACTAAATCCGTGACCTCTTCTTTGAAATGCAAGGAGTGTTTAATTTTAATAATTATAAACATTTGGCAAACATCTGCTTTAATTTAATGTATTAGCAGGCAAATTGTAGCTAACCTATGTAGCAATTTATTAGGAACATTAAGAAATAAACATTTCCAAAGGTTCTGTGGTGGGATTTCCAGAAATGTAAAAATTTAGTTGAAAGGACTTGCTACTTGCTTCCCTATTGAATATGGAGCTCCAGAGTAACGGTAGTTCTCAAGATATTGAGAACTATTTGCATGAGGTCTCTTTAGTTCTCAAAATCTTGAATTTTAGAACTAAAATTTAAATTAGAAGGTTTTCACTTTATTTTGTTCTGAGATTACTTATTTTATGGAATTACATGGGGTTTTTTTTCTATCTTTCCCCCATTTTCTCTGCTACTTCTCAGCTGGTTCACTCTAAGGCAGTGGTTCTCAACCTGTGGGTCGGGACCCCATTTGGGGTCGAACGACCATTTCACGGGGGTCGCCAAACAAGGCTGTCTGCCCCTGGCACCCGGTGATGTATAAGTGGTTCGGGGTCACCACAACATGGGGAACTGTATTATGGGGTCGCGGCATTAGAAAGGTTGAGAACCACTGCTCTAAGGGGAACCAGCCAGAAAGGAACAGTCATCATGGCTTTATGATAGGTACTTAAAATAGATTTACTTTGCCATACAAATTATTTTTGAAATTGTCTTTAATGCTGTGAGATTTTGCTGATAACCATGTGTTTTCCAAGTATTCCTAAATCCTGCATCCATTTTGCAGGAGCAAGTCCTCTGTCCTTGGGTGAGAAGGACATTGAGTGGCAAAAAAGCTTGTGAAACTACTGTAGTTTGGGGAAATTAAGAAACTTCCATATGTCTGCCTTTTTCCATGACTGTGCTCAACTATTGTGGCAGGAAAACTTCATTGCAGTCACAAGGGCAGACTAAAATCTAAATAATCATTGTCTTCCTAGACTAGGGGTAGGAAACCTTGGCTCTTTTATGACTTGTGGACTTCAACACCCAGAATTCCTGAACCAGCCATGCTGACTCAGGAATTCTGGAAGTTGAAGTCCACAATAGCCAAGGTTCCCTACCCCTGTCCTAGACTATTGATGTGAGTATGAGGACAAATAGAAATTAACAAATTTGATTTGTCTTTTTAGAAGTAAAAGTTAACAGAGTGCTCTCCTTGTTAGGTATTACAAATTTGATAAAGCTAGCAAGTGTTATTGACTATTAGTGATCATAATTTAGCAGTGCTGGTGGTACGCCACAAACTATGTATATTTAGTTAATAAGAGTGCAGCAAAGATGGAGATCAAGCAGTGAAAATTATGATAAGATGTAGTAGTGCTTTCTTGGATTAATATACCTCTTACGTTAATAAATGTCCCATAATGTAACTATAAAGTAAAAATGCTTCCTCATTTTATTGTACCGTGAAATATTCCAGCAAATAGCAACTTTGCAATACAATTTATCTTGAGTTATTGCAATAAGCTCTTAATTATTTAGCAATGGCCAATTTGCAAGGAAAGATTGAAAGTGCTCTCAGTGAATAAATAGAATTGAGGACCGTTGGAATTGAGTTGGAGAGCTTGCTTGGGATAGAACATGGCATGTTCATCCAGGATTATATGAAAACATTTCTGAATGCTAACTGGATTTTTTTCCCAATTCAGAAAGTAATATGTTACCAGAAGAGCATTTCAGTGATATATTTAGCCTCTGGCTGGGGGGGGGGGGGAGGATGGGTCATTAAATGCTTGTTTTAACTGAAGGTAATGGAACTGTTAATATAATATCTGTAAATTATTGTAAGAGGATTCTTGGATTGTTTGCTCTCAAAGTTTATATTATATTCAGATTTCAAACATTGCTCTATGTAGTTTTAATTGCATCTCTTAATCATAAACTGCTCTAATCATAACTATATGTTTTATAAAAATATCCACAAGCCTCTCCTAAATACATGTCTAATATTTAGGGCATATATATTTGTGTTTATCGCAAGAGCCTGTTTTAAGGCCTCTAAAAGCAGAGCCCACACCAGGCATGTTCAATCCACGGCCCTGGAAGCTAGTAGTGCGGCCCCATCAGATCCCCCAAAATAAAGGAAGCTAATCATATACATTAACTGTATTATATGTTTTATTGCGGTCCAAGACAGTTCCTCTTCATTCAGTGTGGCCCAGGCAAGGCAAAAGGTTGGACACACCTGGCCTCCAGGGATCATGTTGGGCCACCAACACGAGAGCAGTTAGGTTTTTCAGACTGGTTTTCAGTCATATGTACCTTACAGGATAATTATGGGCAGATATTCTTTCTCTCTATATGTTATTATATTTTACTTGTCTCCCAACAATTCAGCACGCTTACTTCCTATAAAGGTAGAAACCTCCCAAACAATCTGCAGTGTTAAAGAATATGTCTCCCCTCCCCAAAGGATTTCTCATGCATTTTTCAAAGAGGAATGGTTTTGGTACAGTATCAGAGTCCTGACTAGCTTCAGTTTTTGATCTATAATAATTTTTAGTGATACATTTGTCTTGCTTTCCTTTTCCTGTTTTTGTTTTTGTTTCTTTCAAATAATGCAGCTTGTTAACCTAGCTTGGCTGAAATTCTGCTGTCTCACAAGCTGAATGCTGGGCTTAGATGATGAGTTTTGCAAATCTTAGAAGAAACCTCTTTATATCCACCTCCTTCATTGAAGCTAGCAGAGCAAAAGAAAGTAAATGCTGAGCTCCTCTTTATTGCATTTCAATTAAAATACCCTCTTATTGGTTGGTAGAACATAATCCCCTTTGGCTCTGCCAATTCTTCCTTGTTTTCTTCTACAAGCATTTGTTTTATGTTATGAGATGAGATAATTTGTATTTAATGACTCACACTTAATCAAATGACTTGAGACTTCAGGATGTAAATCAGATCTTTGTGAATAAGTGTCTGTACTCTTAGTCATGCAGAGAATGTATATAGCGCACTGTAATAATAAGCCACAAAAGTTGAAGCTTAATGGTTAAAATATGGATTCTCCCTCACGATTACTCCAAGCTCTTTTGTCAATCAGAATATGTGTGTGTTCTTCATCAGACTGTCCTTTTTTTAATGGCTCAGTGTGTCAGGTTTTAGTCTAGTTATATTTTCTTTTTTAAAGTAATTTTTGAAATCAACTTCCAGTTCTTTTCCAAGGTAAGTATATATCATGTGAGAAGTATCAACCCCTAGAACAGTGTTTCCCAGCCCAATCTTAAAGCTGCCATGGTTGGAAACACTGCCCTAGAAGATAAGCCAAGGTTGGGTTGATGCTAAATTTCCTAAAACGATGGCAGAATTGTCTTTATAAAGAAAAAATAACCTTTTTTTCTTGTTCATTTAATCTTCTCTTGACTTCTCTTTAGCATCAGATAATAGCCAACGATTTCGGGAAACCTGCTTTGCATTTGCCCTGACTCCACAGCAAGTGCAGCAGATCAGCAGCTCCATGTAAGTGGTCATCGCACCCTTTTAAGTGCAACACTTCTGATTTCCAAAATGTGATAAACCTTTTAAGAGGGGTGTTTATAATTGTGGAGCAGGACTTTTTTTTAGGTTTTAGCATTCCTAATGAGGATGAGGTGGCCTTGGGGTATGATAGAATTGCAGTGTAAAAAGTCTTTGCTGTCTGAGTGGCATTTTTACATTTGCTTTGCCATTCCTGGTTATCCAGTAGTTCCCAAGTCTAGACCACTTACGCAACAAGTGCAATCAAACCCTAATTCATCCCAAGTGTGGTCATGCTCTTCCATGTAGTCTGTTTGCAAGACAATGTACTGTTGCCCACACACTGGTACTAACTGGGAGGCACATGAGTACCCTGAGCCACATTCAGAGTATGTGCATTTTCATAATTTAAAATGATGCCAGAACCATATAAATGTTATTTATCAATGTATTCTGTTCAGAAAGGGGGAAGGGCTTGAAAAAGGAGGATGGAACCTGGATTTGGCAAATGTGCCTTTTGCAGAGCATTTCAACATAGTTTGGTATTAGCATATTCTGTTTCAAGCTTTACATGTTTAAATTATGTAATGCATTATTTTAACGAACTGTATTTAATCAGTGTCTAATGTCTTTGTTAGGGATATTTCTGGAACCAAATGTGATTTCACCGTGCAGGTCCAGTTAAGGTAATTGTTTTTCCTATAATCCAATTGCAACATGCTGTTTCCTTTCTCCTTCACATTCTGTGCCAAATATTGGGTCTAATATTGGCTGGTGAATTCTGGGAGTTGAAGTCCAGACATCTGGTATGTGTTATAGCTACCTTGGCAGTGTTGGTCAATTGTCATAAATTGAGAGCTACCTGTACAGTGACTCACAGGAGATTAGATTCTACATTAAAGATAGGTCTCTTAAATACTGAAAACCTTCCACACAATATTAGTTAAATACATTCATTTATGTATACCTACACCTATGCGTATATCTATAATCACAGGATTGTTGTTGGGGGGGGGGAAATGGGGAAGAAAGAGTATTAGATATATTCACCACCTTTAGTTATTTTTATGGGATAAAAATAAATAAAATATAAGATAACATATAACTGAACTTTGTCATATCCTTAGGTTTTGCTTATCTGAAACCAGTTGCCCACAAGAAGATCACTTCCCGCCAAATCTTTGTGTGAAAGTTAATGGAAAACCTTGTAGCCTTCCGGTAAGTGTCTCCCCAAATCTGACTACTGTAGTCTTCTTTTTCATAAAATAATAGAGCCGAGGTGGCGCAGCAGTTAGAGTGCAGTACTGCAGGCCACTTTAGCTGACTGTGTTCAGCAGGTCAGCAGTTCAAATCTCACCAGCTCAAGGTTGACTCAGCCTTCCATCCTTCCGGGGTAGGTAAAATGAGGACCCAGATAGTTGGGGGCAATGTATATATATATATATATATATATATATATATATATATATATATATATATATATACATACATACATACATATACATACATTGCTTACTGGTGTACACCGCTTAGAGAGTGCTTGCACTTAAAGTGGTATATAAGTCTCATAAATAAATAAATAAATAAATAAATAAATAAATAAATAATCCCTGTGGAAACTATGTAGATGGTTTGTGGGATAATAGACAGAGAGTCCTTATAGTCCTGGTCTTTGCATTCAGTGATGCATTTGTTGACATGCAGAAGTTACTTGAGTTATTCTGTCTCTTCTACTTACAGTTCTTTTGAGGCAAAGTCTCCCTAGAGTCAAGCTCAATTTCTGATGATATTGCAAACATGACTAGTTAGCTTTTTTGTCAACAATATGGAAGTGGTTATTATTCCCTTCTTATAGGATTCTTTATTTTTACTACCAGTTTAGCCTACTGCCCTGGGGTTGCCTATTAATCTCTCATCCCATACACATTGGTCTCCTAAGAGTTGGTGTTCACCTCCTGGTAACTTTGTGGACGTGTTCATTGAATCTTTTTTTGCAACTAAGTACCAATGAAACCTGATCTTGCTTAGCCTTTGAACTAGGCAAAATTGGTCAGGTCATCTGTTTCAAGCCCTCCGTGTATATTAAGTGGAATTAAAAAAAAAACTAAACAAAAACTCAAAAACTTGATTTTTCTCATATAACATATTCCATTCAATAGTGCCCAAGAATTGACTTTCCTCTTCCGTATTGTCTTGGCTTTTTTGGTAGTATGAAATGAATTTCTGGTCTTTGACTAGCTATAGTTATCTGTGAATCTCTATCCACCTATCTCATAAAGAGAAGTTAGGGGTGTATGGATCTCATCTTAATTCCCTACCAACAAAAGGGACATAATGAACTACTTCAAATATTGATGTCAAGCAAGGTCACGAAAAGGGAGACGTTGCTTTCCTTAGTCATTTTCATAATGGTAACTTGAATTATGGTGTTTCAGGGCTATCTTCCTCCAACTAAAAATGGGGTTGAACCAAAGCGACCAAGTAGACCAATCAACATTACTTCACTGGTGCGATTATCCACAACAGTACCAAACACAATTGTTGTCTCTTGGACTGCGGAAATAGGAAGAGTAAGTAATGCTTTTGATACAGAGCAAAATGATTGAGAGAAGGGATTGTTACATATAGCCAGTGAATCAAAGTAACTTTGTCTGAACTTAATGATTTCAAGAAGTATTTCTGGGGCCTTTTGTAGATTGGCCATGTCTTACTACAGTGGTGGCGAACCTATGGCACAGGTGCCAGAGGTGGCACTCAGAGCCCTCTCTGTGGGCACGCGCACCGTCGCCCCAGTCCTAGGCCTTCAGCTGGGTTTTATAAAACCTTTTCACTTTAGGCCTCCGCCGCCATGTGCAAAAAAAAAAAAAAAAAAAAAAGGTTCAATCAGTCAATTTCAACTTCCCACAGAAAAAAAAAGATCTTGCAAAGTTGGAATTGATTGGTTGAACTTTTTAGTCCCACCCAGTCTGCCGTTACCACTGCAGCCACACCCAGCCAATGGGCCACACCCACCCGGCACTCAACGATGCATAAGTAGGTTTTGGGTTGCAGTTTGAGCACTCAGTCTGCCATCCCTGTCTTAGTATATCTGGGCAGATTGAAAATAGCAGGACTAAGTCAACCTGCTGAAGCTTCTGGTGCAGATCTGGTCATTTTAAGAATACCTTTTTTCAGACTTTTTAGTGTAAGTGGAATCGATTATGAAGGGAGGAGGTGAGGTGCTATTTACTCTATGTAGTCAAACAGAGGCTGGACATGTCTCTGTTGGAGATGCTTAAGTTTGGATTTCAGGCCCTGGGGGCGGGTAGATGGTTCTTTCCAACCCTGTGATTCAGTGACATCTGCGTTTGCTCCTCACGGCTAACCTAGCAATGTTTCTGGAGTCTGTCAGATTCCTTTGTAAAGATGAATTGAGCAGGGCTTGGATGTCCAGACATTGGCTTTTCAACCCAAGCAAAGGGTAAAGCCATTTGAGGCAAATTGCTTCTTTAGAGTTATGCTGGCAGCATGCTATTTGATAATTTTATCTCTTGACCAAATTGGACCATTAAAGGGATGTGTGATAGAGCTCTGTGTAAGTTAGATATTTTACAAATTGTGGCAGCTTAATAAACAATGTTCAATTTAGAAAAAGAAAAAAGGGAAATGGAATGTATATCTGTATATATATGCATTCGTATATATGAATGTTTGTATGCAGACACAGACACCCAATATTGGTACCCCTCTACTTTGCCCCCAAAGAATCACAGCTTGCTGTGAAATAAGTTGAGCTGGAAATAAGTAAGTGTAATCTATCGTTCTTTATTCCATAGTTAATAGAATTGGTATTTTGCTTTTGATATATAAGTGCCTGCCAGGAAGGTCCGTTGGAAGTTCAAACGGTCCATAAGTGACTAGTCATAAATCAAACACTACCTGTATGTGACTCTTGGAGTTCAGCCGGGATATTTTTGGAGCTTTCTTTAGTTTTTTCTCCACTATTTAAATTATCCTTCTGTTCAGTCTGGGCCAATTTTTCTGTTGTAGCCACATGCAGGAAAGAAGGGCTACAGTCCCCGGGAGCTTCATTTCCTTGATCATCTTTAGCCTCCCCGTCTTGGCTCTTCCTTTTCTTCCTCCCTGGGCCGCTCTGCTTTGCTTTCCCTTCTCCCCCTCCTTCCCTGGGCTGCCCCCATCAGCACTTTTCTCCATTTAGAGAGTCCGAGTGGTTGATGTGGGATTGAAGACTCATACACTACCAATTAAAATAATTACTGTGCTGGAATGATCACTGAAATCTAGTGATATTGTTTTAATTTCTAAGGAGTACCAGTAATTATGCTGGTTGGTGCACAGTGATCTGTTAAATGACCGCATCCTACAGCCTAACCCTCTATATTTGTTCTAGGTGCAAAGAATAAAAATAACTTTCATTATTTACCATATCTTCCAAAAGTCAGTGAGAATTTTGCTTCTAATTCCAAACTTCATGGGAATTTGGAAATAATAAAATGCATTCCTGATAAGTAGACCAACTAGTTCTTTCTCGTGTTTTCCCTGCAGTCTTACTCGATGGCTGTCTACCTTGTCAAACAGCTGTCCTCGTCTGTGTTGCTACAGAGGTTACGAATAAAAGGCATCCGGAACCCCGACCACTCCAGGGCACTAAGTACGTCTACTAGATGCAAGCTCCGAGTCTCCAATAATTGGGAGAGAAAGACACTGCAATGAGGGTCCCCCTTATTCTTCTTTCATTGTTTTAAAATGTTTAACTGTCTTGACTATAATATGTTTTTGAATTGTAAGTTGCCCAGAGTCATTGACTGAGATGGGCAGCTATAGAAATTGAATGAATGAAGAAATGCAGGCCGAACAGCTCCTTATAGTCAGCATTGGTGACCTTCCACAGCTGGAAATTGGGCCACCCCAGGTGGTGGCCCTCCCTGCTGATAGCCGGGCAGGCAGAGGTTCCGTTTTCTGGGGCGGCCAGGTCTGTTTCCTCAGGTGAGCAAGGACACCTTGCAAAAGAGACCTTCCTGAACTGTGGCGAGGCCTGGCCTGGCCTGGCCTGCTTTTCTTTTGTCCTCAAGAGGGCTGAGTTCCACTCACTCTCGACTCAACCTCCTGTGCAGCAGAGGTCTCCAACCTTTTGGGCGCCAGGGACCAGTTCCGTGGAGAGCGCTTTTCCTCAGACCGGAGGGTGTGTGGTTTTGTGTGCTGTCTGCATCCCACGGATGGGGCTTTGCTTGTTTTGCGGACCGGTTGCTGGCATGCCGTGGCCCGGTTCTGGTCCACGGACCGGGGGTTGGGGACCCCTGCCGTGGAGGATTTTACTGTCAGTTCTTCAACTGATTCGCTCAAAACCCGTTCTGACTTTAACTCAGGAAATGCACCAACTTGCTATCCTGGCTCCCTGTTACGCCCCTTCTGATGGACGTTCCATTTTTGTTTTCTTCCTTCTTGACAGTCAAAGAGAAGCTGACAGCAGATCCTGACAGTGAAATAGCAACAACCAGTTTAAGAGTTTCTCTTCTATGCCCGGTAAGTGTGTTTCTTTTTACAATTCTTTCCTCATTGTATTAAGTGCAGGTAGTCCTCGACTTATGACCCCAATTAAGCCCAAAATTTCTGTTGTTAAGTGAGACGTTTGTAAAGTGAGTTTTGCCCCCTTTTACGACCTTTCTTGCCACAGTTGGTAAGTGAATCACTGCAATTGATAAGTTAGTTACCCGGTTATTAGGTGAATCTGGCTTCCCCCATGGAGTTTGCTTGTCAGAAGGTCGCACAAGGGGATCACCTGACACACACACACACACACACACACACACACACACACACACCCGGGACACTGCGCCCGTCAGAAATATGAACCAGTTGCCAAGCATCTGAGTTTGGATCACATGATCATGGGGATGCTTCAATGGTGGTAACTGTGAAAAATGGTTGTAAGTCACATTTTCAATGCCGTTGTAACTTTGAACAGTCACTAAATGAACTGTTGTAAGCCGAGGACTCCCTGTATCTACTATACAATGTCACTTTGAATGTTAATTCACATGTCTGGCAATAATGCCCCACTGGGAAGATGAGAGTCATTCTCTCTGGGAGAAGTTGAAGGAATTCATTCATGCCTACGTTCAGGGCAGAGTTTGTCTTCAACTCTCCTGTTTATCTGTTTGCTTTCCTAGAGGCTTTTATGTGGCCAAAAAGGACTCTTCTTTTGTTAAGCCGAATTTTCTTTGTATTTCAGACTTAATTATTCAATTCACTTTTTTTTTCTTTTAAAAGCTTGGCAAAATGCGACTAGCAATACCTTGCAGGTCTCTGACTTGCTCACACCTTCAGTGTTTTGATGCCACCTTGTACATTCAGATGAATGAAAAGAAGCCGACTTGGGTGTGTCCTGTCTGTGACAAAAAAGCACCCTATGAACATCTGATAATTGATGGGTGAGTACCTTTCTGAAGCCAGGAATAGTTGGGAATAGTGGGGAATCATCTGTTCTAGAGACCTTCTGGAAATAATCTAAGGCAGCGTTGATGATGGGTGGACTTCAGCTCCCAGAATTCCCCCATCAGTCTAGCTGGCGGCAGAATTCTGGGAGTTGAAGTCCACCCATCTTCAAGCTGCCAAGGTTGAGAGAGCTTGAAAGGGTAAGAAAGCAGCTTCAGGCTGCCAAGGTACTAAGTTGTATTTTGATGCTGCCTTTCCATATGAGGTTGGACGTTGCTTATTAGATATGCCTTCCTGTATATTCAGGATAATTTTTAAGGAAGCTTCTATTTTATAGGTTGTTTATGGAAATCCTGAAATATTGCACAGATTGTGATGAAATTCAGTTTAAGGAAGATGGGTCATGGGCTCCTATGAGATCAAAAAAAGAGGCCCAAGAGGTGACCACATCTTTTAATGGTGTAGAAGGTGAGCTTCACAGTAACTCGTCTGCTTTTTAAAACATTTTTTCCTCTTTGTTGCTTTGTGTAGTTCATGATTGTGCATTATGTGACATATGGCTTCAGCTTACTGTGATTTCAACATTTGATTGTTCCTAGGCTGCTTAAGTTCTTCTGTGGATCATCAGGTGTCTTCTCATCAGTCAAATAAAAACAAGAAGGTTGAAGTAATCGACTTAACCATTGACAGTTCATCAGATGAGGAGGAAGAGGAACCACCTGTCAAGAGGAGATGTCCATCCCTGTCTCCTGTGTCATCCATTAACAGCAAGAGGTGAGATAGTGACCAAAGTTAGAGGCTACCAAAAGCTACTTGTGACCCAGTTCTGAAGTTACAGCAGCCAGTTGCCCTTCCCCCTCTGTCCCAAAAGCACATTTTGGGTACTCAGCAACTAGCCCACCTTTACAGTCGTTTGCAGTGTCCCTAGTCACATGATCACAATTTACAACGTTAGTTGCCCAAACCTGGCATTTAGTTCAATTTTTCAGCAAAACCACCCCATAGCAAATAATGGGTTCACTTAGTGACCAAGAAGGATATTTTATGACTACAGCGGGTGTATGTAACTGCCACAAAAAGGTCATAAAATTGTGTCCAGTTGTTTACAACCATCAGGACTTACAACCGTAATGGGTAGATTCCACAATTATTATCTGTACTGCAATTTGTGGTTCCAGATAGGATGTGCAGATGGAGTTCTCACTTTCATTTTGGGATCCTCATCAAATCTTGTCCACTGAAGCATGGTTTTGGGGTGACAAAATAGGATTTTTTTCACATTCTGTGAAAATGGTCGATAAACGTAAGCTTTCATGAAAAGGTAGCGTATCTGCAGGTCACACTGGCAGCCTTTCACTGCCCCGTATTCTGAGGGAAAATGTATGACCCAATCAGGCTTATGTTCTGTCGAGACTGTGCTGCAGAAATTACACAGGGAATTCCACTTCCCCTTTCCCATGGGGGAGAGAGAGTCCCACAGCTGGTGGCCTTTGGAGATACGGAGGAGAAGTGGATGGGTGAAAGCCGTGTCGAAATGCTGATAGGTAGCAGCACGAGGCTTAATAAAAAAGCCATGGAAGAGAAGTAAAGAATCTCATAGCTTGTTTAATGACAAAGGAAGCACTTGCCATTTGGCAAGATGAAAATGCAAACATCTAGTTCTGAGTCTCAGTGGTTGTTGGTGTGGAGGATTGTGTCTTGTAACTGACTTCCAGGTTTCCTTTTCTAGCCTTTTAGGTCTGCCCCACCAAGTCTCTCCTGTTTCAAGGACTCCCAGCCTTCCAGCTGTTGACACAAGCTACATCAACACCTCACTCCTGCAGGATTACAGGCATCCATTTCATATGACTCCCATGCCTTACGACCTCCAAGGTAGGCTGCTGACCCTTGAGACGCTAGGGATGGAAGCTGGGATTTTCTGGGGAATGACAGGATCTTACCTTGGGCCCCTTTCTGTGGAATAAACAGTGCTGAAGCTGGACTACATCTTAGGCTGAATGCTGTCATTCCCCCCCTCCCAACGCATTCTGTTAGCTTGCTTGGGGTTTAATAAAAGCCCCGGGTCTACAGTCCGAGGGATGGGGGAGACAAGCAGGGTCCGCTGTGATCATTTTCAGATCAGTCTATTGAGAATAAGCATCTACCTGAAAGAGAGAATAGACCTTGCAGTGACTTGGTGGGTTTTTGGAGCAGAAAATATTTGGGGTCACATTGTGTGCAAGGAGGGGGTACCCTGATCAGCCCTTCTCGTCCAGATCATCCAAAACTGCCCCGTCCAAGGTAGGCCACAGCTGACACATAATATATCACTGAGCAAAGGGCCTGAAAAAAGTGAACTGTGACCGTTTTTCACCCTTTGCAGCATCCCCACAGTCACATGATCAAAATCTGGACGCCTGGCTCACGTTTATGACCCTTACAGTATCCTGGAGCCATTAATCATTTTTTGTGACCTGACAAGCAAAGTCAGTGGGGAAGTCAGGTTTACTTAACAATCTTGTGACTAACACTACCTTGTGACTGCAGTGATTCACTTAACAACTGTGGCAAGAAAAATTGTCAAATGGGGCAAAACTCACTTAATAATTGTCCTGCTTAACAACGGACACTTTGGGCTCAATTGTGGCTGTACGTCGAGGATCTAGTTGCATTTGGTTCAGCCTCAGAGGTTGCCATTTTCTTTGCTAAACTCTGTTTCTTTGAAGAAGGTGAAAATATCTTCATTTTGTTCCCCACAGGTTTGGACTTCTTTTCTTTCTTACCAGGAGACAATCAGGTATGTTGTGTGTTAAAAGTTACCTGTAGCTACTGAGGGGAATTTGATGTGATTGACAAATTCTCTTTTGCAAGTCAATAAATATCTCGGTGTACTAAAGTGCCCTAATGCACTAAATATCTCGGTGTACTAAAGTGCCCTAATGCACTAAATATCTCGGTGTACTAAAGTGCCCTAATCCAGTGACACAAGTTGTGTAAAATTGTGCCAGTGAACTTCCGAAAGGAGAGCTGCTCTGCCCAGCTCAAATCTCACTGGTTTCCCACTCTCTTCCCTCTTGCCATCAGATGAGTTTCCCAGAGGCCCCTGCCTTCATTCAGAGGCCGTGACTGATATTCCCAGAGTATCATCCCTCCTCTCGGGCTTCTGGATGCTGAAACGCGCTCTTTCTTTGCCCCTGGTGCCCTGACTCCTTATCTGAGATTTGGCGGGGCCTTTCCTTGGCCTGGGCTTGGGAAGCGTCCAAGTGTCTTTCCAATGGTCCATCGTTGGGGTGGCAGTAGAAATGCCTGGGTGCCCTTGATCCTCCCTGGTTTCAGCAGCCTTTTATCTTCTTTCCAGCATTACAGCACTTCCATTTTGGCGGCCGCAGCTGCCGCCGTCTCCACTTCTGATGATCAAGAACTCTTGCACTCCCGTTTTTTCCCGTACACTTCGTCGCAGATGTTCCTGGACCAGCTGAACACAGGAGGGAGCGCCACTCTCCCCGCCACGAATGGCAGCAACAGCGGCAGCAACAGCAGCCTCGTGTCCTCCACCAGCATTCGGGAGGCCCACGGTCACCCCGTGGCCAGCAGAAGTAACACAGACCCCACGTCTCTCTTTGGCGTCATCCCAGACATTATTTCTTTGGACTGAGCTTGGTTGAGGTGTCCCTGGACTCGTGGGCAAAGAGATTTGCAATTTTGTTTTACCTTATTTTTGTTTAGAAATGCAGATAAGTTTTTCCTTTTTTGTAGGGAAAAAAAGATGTGTACAGAGAACAAAACTATATTTTCAGTTGTACTTTTGTATATAAACCTAAGATAATTTGACTGGCGAAAAACAAACAAAAAAAATTACAAAAGCTCCCAACATAATTGCTTGGGATTGGAAGACTTCTCCCCTCCCAATTTGTCTTGTGCGCTGGTGGGCTTGTTTTGAAGCTTTGACTCTGAAGCACATAATTTTTTGTTTGTTCACAGCAGTGCTAGTGGGGAAAATGGTGCGCCCGAAACCTTGAACTTCATAGAGGACTTCTGATTCTTGAGGAAACAGATGGCATCCACCATAATTGGAGAGAATTTCTCCTTCCTTAGGGTAGGCTGCCTTGGCAAAGTTTCTCTGCACAAATGCTTTGAATTAGATTCAACGTTTGCAATTGGATCGGACCTTCCTGCTTTTCTGCTCTGTTTGTTTATCCTGAAGCGGGACAGAGGCAGTTTCAGTTACCGAAATTCCATAGCATTTTCTTGTGTGAGGTGGATGTAGGTTTTTGGAAAGTGGCTGTTTGTTCCGAAGTGGGACTCTTATTTCTTCTCTGGGTTGTTTTTATTAGCTAGCTCTGCCTTGGTTTGCTCATAATTCAGATTTCATGGTTTTGCTCTTTGCTAACTGTTTGCCATTAAGGAGCTATTCCATTCCATTGGATGAGACCAAATAGCTTCTTAAAATCTTAAAGGCATACTTTGTTGAGATAGTTCCTTGGCAATTAGAAGGTTATGTCTGGAGTGTTAAAGACAAAGAAATTGGTGGAATTCTTAGAATATGTTTAATAAATAGAGCCAGCCCATCAGCATTTAAGCGGAATAATGTAATTTCAATGAGTTTATTGTGTAGCTGACAATGTCAACAGCCATTGTATGCACCAAGGTCCAATCCTAGAAAACATTAGGGGGGGGGGCTTGGGAAAATGTGCCCCATTGAATTGAGTAGGATTTAGCAAAACTAATATTTGAATAATTAATCTCTAGGATTGGGTTAAAGAGTGGCCCATTAAAATATGACTAAAAGTCCTACCTTTTGTATTTCAGCTTAGTGGAAAATAACAATCTATAAGATTATTATCCCCCTCCTTTCCTTCAAAACGTATTAAATTACTTCAGCATTTTTTAGTCTGTTAAATTCTTCTGAAGGAAAACGTGGGCCCTACCCTTTTAGCATTTGTAAATCCCACACTGAGGGATGAATGTTTTAGCATTTTTTCCTTAATTAAATAACAAAACATGGAAATTGCAAGATTTTAAAAAAAAAATGACGGGGAAGTCAAGTGAAATTTGCTGCATGCCAAAATCTGTCTTGAGGTTAAAAGATTTTATAGCTCATCTTTAAAATCAAGGTTTAAAAACACTGAAGATTCCAGCAGGAGGAAGCAAAGTGGTGAAACAAGCCTGGCCGTTTTGTTTCGTTTTAATCAGAAGGCACATTCGCTGGTTCTTTGAGCATTTTTTCCAAACTCTTATTTTCAAGACTGTCCTTCAGTGAAACTTAAATCAGTGAAAAGCTACCAATTTTTAATCTTAAATGTTTTTTTATATAGACCTCAGAAATGTTATATTGGATTTTCTGAAATACATCCCATTTGCCATTTAAACTTTGATTTGATTAGGAATGTTTGTTTATATGTATATGTGTGTGTATATATGTATTTATAGATATGTGTGTCTGAGAGCGAGGGTATGTGTTTTGTTCCATGCATGTATTCTATTAATGTTTGGCCAATATGTTTCCTTGCTAGTTTCTAATTTATTAAATGGCAGTAAAAGTTACAAGAACCAAGTAGAAAACAGTAATATTTTCTAAATTCACTATAGTTTGGGGCATTAAAATTAATACTGGCTTAAGAATTATACCCTAACGTTCAAAACGTGTCCTCTCTGTGTTCCAAGTGAAGATTGGCAAAAGCCAGGGGTGTGACTGCAGAACAGAATTGGCGCCATTCTCTTGAAAGTCTGCGGCTTTCGATTTGACACTTTTTCATAGTCCAAATAATTGTTTTAATTAACATATATGTTCAAATAACACACCGTAGCACATTGTAAGATGTGCGCTTTCCAGGTTGTTAAGCTAAGGAGTCCGGGCACAGTGTGTAAAAATGAGTTGAAGTCACACTCTGTTTATTTGTGATGGAGAATCAGCACATGTACAGTAAATGCATCAGGCAAGTAGCTGTGTGAAGCTTGTTTGCACTGACCGTGACTCGTACGTCCTGTGTGTGATCTGTGTGTATATCAGGCCCCTTCTGCGTCTAGCTTAAGAACCCGAATTTATGCACTGCTTTGAGTGCGTCGGTGGAGAGGATGTTGAGCTTTTTCTTGGGGTGACCAAGGTAAGGTGTGTGAGAAGAACTTGGATCCTAGGCTAATGAAGCATTAGGCGTTGCTGGAAGCAGAACTTCCTCCACGTCAGATTAACTTGATAATTATGAAACGAAAGGTACCTCCTGCTGGTGCTCCAGTTTTTCAGTGAACCAAATAAAAACTATCTCTGACTGCAAAGGGATGGGAGAGGTTGCACCTGAAAGCAGCACTGAACGTTTTGAATGTGAGATAGTAAATACCATCCCAACCGGAGGGAGTGCAAGTCAGAACATGCATCAGACTTTGGGCGTTACTACATATTTTGATTACAGGGTTTTCTTCTGTAGTAAGATGTCCTTGCCAAGCTAATTTTTGACAGTTGTAGAATTTTTCAGGGAAGCAAAGGGGTCTGTTTTGCTTAATTTAACAATGTAAGATATATTCTATGGATTTCATTTTTGTATGTTTGCTTTTGTGGGGGAGGAGGCTCACTTTTTTCCCAGAGAGAGAGAGAGAGAGAGAGAGAGAGAGAGAGAGAGAGAGAGTGCTTATTACTTGTACGTCTTGTTTGTACTTAGTGTGCATTTTGTGCTGTGTGTATGTACACACAGATGCAAGATTCTTCTATAATAAGAGTGATTTTCAATCACTTCTGTGGGCATTAACTAGATGCATCATTTTCCTTGTTAAAAACCTGAATGCAAAACCAAAATTGCAACCAAAACTCGCAGTATTTTAATGGCATTCCCGTGTTTCTTCTTTTCCCTTCTGAAACATAACCAAAATGTCAACCTGAAGCCGATTCTTACTAGTAATTCTGCTGTACTTTGACTAAGCTTTCCCATTATATTAAACATTTCATAGCTTTTTCATCATTTAAAATTATGGTTTCTTATTTTATTTTTCTTTGGTAAGAGCTTTGATCTCTATTGAACTAAAACTGCCAGAGGCCCCCAGTGTGTGCTGCTGTTAATTGTTCTGATTAACAAAAGGGAAGAACCAATGTATATAAAGTGAAAAACAAAAAAGTGATTCCATATACTCAGATCTGTGATTCATTGCCTTAAACTTTCTCCTAAGTTTCCATACAGCATGCCAAACAAGTTTTAAAAAGTGGCTTTTAAAAATGTATAGTAGACCAATGTCAGTTTGTATAAAAGTACCAAGTGAAAATATTTATTACATGCATTGGAAGAGAAATGGTTTACCCTATTGAATGTTACTTGTTTATGTAAAACATCTTTAGATGTAATAAAAAACATTATTATGTTCTCTCTTGTGAAATAGCTTATCGTGGATGCATAGTACAGACTGGGTTTGCAAGAGATAAATTCTTGGTAAATGTGTAATGAAAAAGTCTATTCAAAAAAAATCTAACCCCTCGAAAGAACCTTTGTTGTACCTTGCTACTTCTGCCAGGAGGCACCGGCTGTCTTTAAAATCGGGAGCTGCCAAGCTGGTGCAACACTCCGGGAGTCTCTGGGAACGTTGGTATGGCCGTGGGATGACTGCACGGCTCCTTGTTACAAGGTTGTTCTGAGAGCCTCCGGTGCTAGTGGCTGCTTCTAATGCTTTCATTGCACCGAGCTTGGTGACCACAGCACAGCTGAATCATCTCGATCCCTTCCAATGTGCCGCCTCACAGAATCATGCTCTATAGACTCCATGATACTGAAACATCTTTCGTAAGCACCTTCTTTTTGACTACTTAAAAAATTAAAGGAACTTAGCTGAACCAGAAAATAAGCATAGTAGATTTTATACAGAAAGAGCCAACATCTCTGCTTTTCTTTAATTGCTTAACGTATTTCTTTTTGTTTGCCACAAAGCATTTATTTTTTAAGACAAAAAGACAGGCAGACCCCAGGTTCCAAGAAGAATTGATGAAGGCTGCACGCAGCAAATATCTTTTTGTAATTCAATAATCATCAGCTGGAAGTGTGATTGATTGAATTAAGTCTTCATACCTCACCAGTCCGTTGTGTCCCACTTTGGCGTTCTTCAAAAGGGTGTCCACTGTAAGCAATGGCAGATTAATTAAACCATTTCAGGTTACAGCTATCCAGACTTTTTATTTCAGATCTTTAATTAGAATGTCAAATGGTGAATGGGTGGGAGGTGAAATTACGGTAATGCAACAGCTAAAGGAAAAAATTGATGGAACAGGTGGTTCCCACATCACAAAGGCACATGAAGTAGGAACCTGGTTTGAAGCAGGTTGAGGTCTGGAATATGACAAACTGCCAAGTATGGTATAGATCAGGGGTCCCCAACCCCCAGTCCGTGGATCAGTACCGGGCTGCGGCATGTCAGCAACCGGGCTACACAAACAAAGCCCCATGTGCGAGATGCAGGCAGCACACCAAACCACACACCCTCCGGTTGGTGGAAAAACCTCTCCACAGAACCAGTCCCTGATGCCCAAAAGGATGGGGACCTCTGGTATAGATCAATAGCAATAGCACTTAGACCCATATACTACTTCACAGCACTTTCCAGCCCTCTCTAAGCAATCTACAGAGTTAGCCTATTCCCCACCCCCCAACAACATGGGTCCTTGTTTTACCACCTCGGAAGGACAGAAGGCTGACGCAACCTTGACCCGGTCAGGATCGAACTCCTGGCTGTGCGCAGAGTTTGCCTGCAATATTGCATTCTAACCACTAGGCTACCAGTGGGTTGGTGGTGTTAAAACTAAGAATAACCTCTAGAGAACCACGTAGATGCATCAAATGTCTGGATATGGACGATGATTATTATAAAGAAGATATCCAAGAAGGAGAAGAAATACTGATTAACCAAGAGCTTCTTGGTTGCTCCCAGCCACAAAATACCTTTTTATCCATGTTTCCTAGTCTATTAAACCACAAAATCACTAGCACTGCTTATTTCACACATCTCCCCTGCGTATCTGGTTGTTGATGGAGCTGCCTTAGGCTTAGGTCTGTTGATGTCTCTTAGCACAGAATCTGAAACCCCAAAGCCCTTCAACAGTTCCATAGCATTGAAGTGTTTATTATGCGTCAGAAAAAAATAAAAATAGAGAAAATAATCATGAAATGTGTCTTAACTGATTTATTTTGAATTTTTAAAAAATCACTTTTTTTATCTTGAGTGCTTATTTTTTGGAATTCCCCCCCCCCACCTGCTGTTGAGGTCCTGAAAAGACAATGAAGATGTTCAGGTTCTTCTTACTCTGAGACTAGAGATGCTTGGTTTTTAATGAGCTCTACCAGTTCATAGAATCACCTAGTTTGTTTAGGACTCGTTCTTTTTAGTACCCATCGCACCTCCCAGAATGAATTAACTCCGAGTGCCAAAGTACCACTGTAACTGGGAAAGGCCCTCTTCCAAGGGCCAAGGCACAGAGATCTTTGCAGGAGACTCACCTTCTTCTTTGGATAGCTTTTCTCCAAGGTTCATCAGCTTAGCCTGCAATTCAGCCACTGAGATGAATCCGGTCCTTTGCCGATCCACCATTAACATGGCCAGGAGGATTTCATTCCTTGGGTCTTCCTGCTGTATTTGCCTATACATGATGGTCAGGAAAGTTGAAAACTCCAGTTCTTCATTCACATCTGTAAGTGAGAAGGAAGGTTCGAGGCCAGCACTGTATAAGAAGATACTATTAAAGCCCATCACCCAGCCTGTCTCGCCATATAAATCAGAGTAGTCTGCTTGTCATCCTAAGCTGGTATGGAACTTAGAACCAAATGTCAGCGCCATGGCTTCTTGCCACTTTGGAGTAAGGAAATGCACCAATGCATTTTGAAATAGTCTTCATACAATAAGGAATACAATAGAAAGTTCCTGATCTCCCCAAACTCTGCCCAGAGGGAAAAGCCCTAGCCCTGCCTGCCTGCCTGCCCACCAGGAAAATAGCTCTAGCTTTACAGGCCTCTAGGGAGATTCTCAGTCATGCAGGTCATGGTTGTCCCAAAGGTGCTTTTTCAAGAAGCAACTGGATTCCCTTGGTTTTTCCTTGAAAAAATTTCACTTCTCATCTAAGAAGCTTCTTCGGTTCTTCAGAACGTTGAAGAAGGTTCTTGGATGAGAAGCTAAATGTCTTCAAAATAAAATAAAGAGAGCCCAGTTGGCTTTTGAAAAAGCACCTTTGGAATAGCTTTACAGACCTTGCTCCACCCCCAAGGGTCAAGGATAGGTCCAGGTATCAAAAGGTGGTCCATTTTTGCTTCGAGCTGACATCCTAGTTTTCCAGAGTGACTAGATGCCTACTTTTTTAAAAGGAAGGTTTAAAGATAAAAAATAGTTTGAGGCTTTGAAAGTTTCCTCAAACTGTCCTGATCATCTTTTCTCCTGCATCATCACTCCATGATTAGAAAAGGATAATTCATATCCTTGAAAATGAACTGTATTTCATAGTTCAGCTGATCTTTTCTTAAAGTGTAGAATTGTTTTCATTTTATTTTTATAATACCAGAATAAAAAGAAAAAATTGCAGAACCAATTCAGTGATGACTTATACCAAACTCTTCAAATTTCTTTAACAATTTTAGATGCTGGTAAGAGTTCTAAAGATCTTCTTTGCCAATGGTGACTATATTCAAGCAGAAGTCCCAAAAAGCTCCCAATTCATTTGAACTGAATAAATCTGTGGAACAAAAACTGCTGAGATTTGCATTTCAAAAGCTTACCATGTTCCCAACTTAGAAAATTACCTTAGAAGGGTAAAAATGCCACAAGGCAAGAATGGAAGATTATTTTCAAAAGGATTTATTTTCTTTAAAAAGATAACAAACCATGCACTAGAGAATATATATAGCTCCAGGCTGAATTGTGCATTCTTGGTATTCTCTGGATAGTAGAACAGCAGTTCTCAACCACGGTCTGTTGGGAACCAGGCTGCGCAAGCCAGCAAGTGAAGCTTCATCTGCGCATGCATGGGATCTAGGCTGCGTGTGCAAAACCATTCCTCCTCCTCCAATCTATGGAAGACAATTTTATTCCCCAAACCGGTCCCTGGAGCCAGAAAGGTTGGGAACCGCTGCTATAGAATATTCTTGCAGATGTTTTGTTACCAGTGTATGCACTGATGTTACTTGGACAAATAATGAAATTTGCTGGACAACCATTTGTCTGAAATGATATAAATTCTCCTGCTCAAGCAGGAGGTTGGACTAGATGACCTCCAAAGTCCTTCCAACTCTGTAATTCTGTGTTATTTCAGCCCCTTTATTAACGATCCTTAATCCTTAACCTTTCTCTTTTCTCATCTGCTGAACTTTTAAGATGAATTAATACATTTACAGCAGAACATTAGAGAGCCCAAGGCAATTCCTACTTTGCCACTTACTGTCACACATAAATTTTAAAGGTCAAAGGAAATCAGCCTCTAGTATCAGCATCATACTAGAAAAATGTGCTCAGCTTGAATTGTTATGCATTTTCCAGGCTCAATTAAGACTTCTGGACTTCAGTTCCCAGAATTCTCTGGCCAGCCATGCTTGCCAAGTTTGGAGACCCCTGCTTCGTACCATGGATCTATAGCTGGAACCTTTCCAAATAGTGCCTCTGGCACACTCTTTTTCTGTAGTAGAAGAACACGTGACTGGGAATGTATATGAATTACTTTTAATGTTAATTAAATATGCAAATTTGGCTGATCTCCAAATGTTTAGCGGGCGGTGGGAGGGACGGCAGAGGAAAGGCAGGGAGACACTTACCGATTTTGTGGAGCTGAAGGTGCCTGGCCACCTCTCCTAGAGTTGGGCTAGTGGCCAAACTGCGCATGACAACCATCAGATCGCTGGCCTTGATTCTGCCTTTCTGCCTTTTGTCATACAGGGAAAAACATTCCTTGAATTCTGTTCAGGAGAAAAAGAGAAGGTCCACGGGGTGGTTTCTGAGGCTGGGAGGCAAGAAATGCCCTGGTCTCCTTTGGCGAAGCTGAGCTGGGGGTTGAACTCTCCACAGTAGGGAGGATAAACCCTAAAGATTATTTCAATTCCTACTGAATTTAAAAGAAATTAATGATCATGCGGTTATTATGACTATATTCTTAAAAGCCCAGATGTCTTCATCCTTGACTTTTGGTGGGCTCACAGATGTGTCTACAAGGTTTTCTTGGCAGGGATGATGGGTCACCATCCTCGTCTCCTCTTATGTCTTCCTGACTTCTTAGTTTTAGCCTACAACAAGGAGCCTCCCTTCTAGCCTCCATCCAAGTACTAACCAAGAGATATCCTGCTTCGTTTTTGAACTCAGAAACATATCACTCGGGCTGTTACTTGCTGAGACGTTTATTTATTAAATTTGTATGCTGCCCATCTCACAGTTTGAGGCAAAGTCACCCACATATTAGTTATTTAATTATTAGATCCTTTCTCCAGATAGGCTATATATCATCCTGTCCTCCATTTTTCCCCACAACAAATCCTGTGAGCTTGGTTCATCTGAGAGTGCAGGTAGTTTCAACTTATGACAATAATGGAGCAGGAACTTTTTACTTAGGGATCAGTTGCAGGTTTCATAGATGAAATTGTACAAAAATATTTTCCATCACATATTTTTGAGATAAAGAAGTTGACACATCAATGGGCAAGGAATCTAAAACAACCCCAAATGGAAATCAACGGAATGATAACATATGGTCTTACAAATTCTTTCATACAAAAGTGGAAAGGGATCTGACTTATCACCCCAGAAAGCTGGTGTGAAGTTTCCTCAAGGAAGACCAGGACGCCAGAAATAAAAGAGAAGAGTAGGAAGCTTCCCTTTTGAAGTAGAAAGATACGTACCATTGATCTGATCCTGGGTTAGAAATTTTGCCTGCAAGACAAAAAGGAAAAACAACAATGAAATAACTTCATTCTGCTCTACAAAATAAGATTCCCCAGCCAGCCAGCCAGCCAGCCAGCCACAATCCTGGGCCAATTGTCTGCAATCACCATTGGAAGGTTTTGGGGTGCAGATTCTGGTTCTTCCCTGCCTGCCCTGTTTGCCTTCTACGCCCAGCTTCCTCACTGATGAAGGGGCGAAGTCCGCTCATCCCAGAGAGCGGTAGCAGGTGTAATAAATACCTTTTGCTGTCATGGATATAATCCAGGTTGCAGGTCAAATTTCAGCTGAAGTGATAGCTGCTAGCCAAGCAACAGCAACCAGATTCGGACGGTTCTTCGTTTGCAGGAATTATTTTTCAGCTCTCTCTTTTTGACAAGGACTTGAATTTTTTACTGCATAGTGTGTAGATAACAACACCATCTTCAAATATTCAGTTGGATGCCAGTGGCTTCATAGTCTCCAGCCTCTTCCAAGACAGGTTAAGTAGAGCTCATTAGCAAAGCCTTAACATGTTGCTTAACACAAAAAGAGGTCCCTCCATTACAAGCCTGCTTTCTAGGCGTTGGAACAGTCTGAAAGAGAGAAATGGCTGGATATTTAGAGTGCTCTACCTAAAATTTCCTTTTTGTTTTTCCCAGGAGACATTTTGAGTACAATTACTAATGGCAGTACAAGAATATATTTTGACCTGTGGCACAGAGGTGAAGAGGGGCTAACCAACAATATCTCCCTCATTAATGAGAGGAAATGGCCACCATCCTGGGTTTCTGGTCAGAAGTAGCCTGGATTGGTTCAAGGGCTGCCTAGAAGCTTGTGCATCAAGCACAATCAATAAATATAACCAGTTCAGCAATAAGTAAATCTTAGATTCATGAAATGTGAGGGTTGAAAGGGATTTTGGAGATCACCTGGTCTAATCCCCTGCCCATTGCAGAAACCTGTTACTTCAACAAACTTGAGGGATGGCCATCCAGTTTCTGCTGAAATATTTTGAGCAAAGGAGAGTCCACCACCTCCTGAGGCAGTTGGTTCTATTGAAGAATTTATATTAACCTTTATTGTGGGAAAACCACATTAGCCTGTAGTAGCCAAAAAACAAAGGAGTCTAGTACCCATATTTCTTATGGGACAAAATAAACTGGATTTATTTTAAGAGATGTAGGTGTATGAATCAGAAAATCCGAACTTGTTGATTAATGCAGGACTCTGCACACTTAGTTGTATATCCTGTCAACTAAATTCATAGCAAACTTCACTGTATGATTTATCACTTCTGAGTTTAGAGCTGAAGACAGTGGTTACTTTAGAAAGCTAAATTGTTACAATGGAACATCACTGTAGGGTGCCCACTCTTTTCTACCATCTCTAAGTATAAATTTTGCTTTGTAATTGCTTTAAATATTTGCTCAATGAGATCAGAAACAACAAAAAAATAAATGAAACAAGTTTAGGCATTTAGGCAATATACTGCCAAAAACTATTAGACCTTCCAACTTGGAATATACCCAGTATCTTTTTTTAAAATTTTATTTAAATTTTCAATACATATAATACTTACCATACATTATATATAAAACTAAAAAAAGAGAAAAATACCTTTAAAATAAGACCTTAGGTGTCGCTCGTCTATCTCCCCCCGACTGGGTCCGCCCTCTCAGCCTTCCTTCCTTACTTCCAGTATCTTATAACAGTGAAGATGGAAAATAAATTTCTTAAGATCAGAGATCTTAGTTACTACTTTGTAATGTGTGTAAGAACTCTTAACTATCCTCAAATTTATCTGTTCTCTCAGAGTCTAAGTACTGAGTTGTTTGCTCTAACAGACTGCTAAACTAAAAAGCATTTTGTCCCTAGATAGGAGGATAATCTTGGAACCAATATGAACCTGAAATTTGTAGGGAACTAATAATTCTTATGCTGAGAAGCACTAGGCGACCAATTCACTGTGGGAGGGGGGGATAAATGGAGACCAACTTGTTGAGAAACAGTGACCTTTCACGCACAGCTGAAATGTAAGATTTGGAGCCTGATTTAAGATTTCCAGCGTGTTCAGGACAAACAGTCCCTCAAACAAATATAAGTAAATAATTGTCAATTAATTATACACTGTCAGTTAATTACAGCATGCTTATCAGTACTCTGCTGTTACAGAACATGATGTTATAATCTTATCCTATAAAACAAATTACTAAGAATTGATAACCAAGAAAAATATTTTTCCCCTGGCAAAGTTTTAGTCATTGGCTCTAAGAAACCATAATACATGAAATGGTGTGGCTGTATGTTAAAAAGAGGGATACATCATTTATCTGAATTCCATGTGAAAATTAGGAGGAGTCTTGTGGTACATTAAAGATTAACAGATGTATTACATCATAATTGTTTTGTGAACTAAGTTATATGAAAGATTTTATAAGCAGTAGGATCAAAGGGAAAATATATGCACTATTTCAGAGGTCATTCATGAAGCAGGATTAATAGCAATAGCACTTACATTTATAGACCGCTTTACTGTGCTTTACAGCGCTCTCTAGGAGGTTTACAGAGTCAGCCTATTGCCCCGAACAATCTGGGTCCTCATTTTACCAACCTGGGAAGGATGGAAGGCTGAGTTAGCCTTGAGCCGGTCAGGATCAAACTGCTGGCTATGGGCAGAGTTAGCCTGCAACACTGCATTCTAACCACTGTGCCACCGTGGCTCTTTATATGATCTAATGACATCATATAAACATTGTGCTCTAAATCCATAGTGTGATCAAAAGCCATTCTGATTCAGTGTCTTATAATGGTATCTTTAAAGCACTGTAGAAGTTCTTTAGTTATTGCTTTTCTTGATGTAGCATTTACATTTGTTTATTATTTTGCATAGAAACCAACTTGAAATTAAATTTATCATCTCATCCACTGATTGGAAAAAGAAGAGTTTTTTTCAGTGAGTCAGTTTACAAATTATTGATTTTATTAACAGGATTTATTTATCTCCTCAATTAGCTAGGTCCCTAGGCAATGAACAACATCCAAAATTAATAAGGCAGTATAACATCAGTATATAATAATACGGCATAATATAATTTTAGAAAGCTATGTCAGTGTAACCAAGCTGTTCAATTCCCAAAGCCTGGGAGCCTTTAGAGCCATTGTGACCTGAGATGACAAGTACTTCTAAAGCAGAGGAGCTAAGAGAGTTTGTCTTATGGGTAAAACAGCTTTAAGAATGCCCATTTTGTGACTATCCCTGTGTTATTTACTATTTACAAGTATATATATATATATATATACACATGAACAGGCAGAAAACCTGTAACTGGATCTTCATCTCTGCAGGGAAGGTGCACAATAGAGGTATCCGGCAGAAGGTCAAAAAACTAAACAATGCATATAAAAAGCAGCTTTAATTGCAAGATTGTAGCCTCCATCCTGAATTTTTATTACCCCTCCTCTCATGGATGTTCCTGTTGCAGGTGCAATTCTCATAGCTGGTGGCTTTAGAATGGAAGAGAGGAAAGCCTCCTTCAGGGCTTTGTTGTTGAAAAGCTCTAGAGGCAGAGAAGATTCAGGCCATTCTTGCTCAGCTCTTGTGTATCTTCCATCTTTGCATTCTGAAAGCTCACTTGCTGAAATACCCAGGATTATTTGATCTCTTGAGCAGGCCTTTGTTTCTTGGACATTTGCACAGCTAGTCAGTGGCCCTCTTTCTGCAGGCTGTTTTCTATGGGCTCTGTCATTCCATTGGCAGTTTGGATTACCTTCTCGCTGCGCAACTATGGGCCACTCTGGCTTTTTTCATTTCAACATTTCAGCAGTTTGCGTTTCCATTTCCATTTATTATGCTCAGCAAAGGCATCCATGAGTCAAACTCAAATGATGGATAAAGCCATGCTGGGTTTTTGGCAATGATCAAATAAAAGTTTGCCTTCTTTGGGGATTGTTTTCTTCTTTCAGTTTCTCAGATTATGCACAACCCTCATCTTTTCCAGGATCCTCTTATCCAACTTTGTCTATCTGCTTAGCCAGGTGGTGCAATCTCCTAAAATATTATAATAGCCATGTTCCAATAAAAGCTAAGCCCAAGAACTGCATGTCCTAAACTGAGCTTCAGATATTATTGCTGCTCTAGTAACTATGTGTGCCAGGTTGTGCGTGCACTTTGTGAAGTGAGTTAGCTGGAATAGTCAGCTACTCTAGCCTTTGGAAGTGCCATAACCACCTCTGGTCTCTTATATTTCAAATGCATTAGGTATCCAGGAATATCCCAGCATTTTACCCAACCTATGTTTCAAAGTAGCATCCCTTGATTTTCCAAACATCTTTTCGTACACCTTTGGGAATACGATTGATCTGGTACCAGGACAACCTTTGAGTCTTACTTTGCTGTGTGTGATCAAAGGAAGATAGGAAGCCAGGCCTAAGAAGGTTATCAAGTGTGAGAAAGAACATCAGCCTTGGTGTGCAGGACCAAGCAAGGAAAGGAGCCACTCTGAAGGAAGAGCTGTTGAGGGGTAAGAGGAAAGAGGGCAGAATATGAAATCCGAGTTGAGAGGACAACAGGGAAGGCTGAGGTCAACCGGCCCAATAGTTGGATGAGAGTCACTAATCTGGCAATAAAGCCAAACTGTAGAACATTTTATTGCCAGGTTTTTAGAATTTAAAATATTTTGTTGCTTTAGAACGTTTGTAACACTTTCTAGAAGCCAGGAAAGGATGAGAATTGCCACTCCCATTCTTTTGGGACACTCATACAATATAAAGTACATACTGTAATATTATGAATACAAAAGATAACAATCTACTACTTTTTTTTTATATTTAGGATATGTTTAAGGATGGGCAAAAAGAACAAGTTCTGAACAAAAATAAAAGTAAAAAGTCCTTTGGCCGGTAAAGAAAGTAACATGCTGTAATAACAAAGCTAAGGTGCATAATTATGTTTTATTACTTTCTATCTCCAGAGCACTGCAAAAACCTTGGCCAAAAAGCTCCTGCTGTGCTGCTAGAGAGCAAAGGCAGAATTCTGCTTCTGAGCACAAGCTTAGAGCAATCCCCAAGACTTGGATACAAAGAATGATTTCTGCTGATCATTTATGTTTTGCCAAGAAACAGTGAGTGCCGTGCAGAAAAAAAGAAGTAAAGGAATCAAGCCCAGCCCTTCCTTAGGAAGACGAGCACAGTTGCCTCAGGCAATGGACTCTGGGCAAGGACTCCAAAGCCTCTAAGCCAGC